GTTTTACGGCGCTCGCAACTGCATAAGGAAAAAAGTCTTGTCATGGAAAGAAGATGTAGATGTCCAAGACTAGTGCTTGTCAACCCTTTTAATAGTTACCACCCAAGTTTGCAACCTTTATCTCATTTGGTACGAAAGAGATTCAACAATTATATAAATATATATACCCAGCGCGAAGGGTGTTGCCTTAAAACTGTTAAATTCTATAATTCAGTAAAATATTGATGAGTTTATCTGTGTGAGCACTCAAACTATTTATAATTAATGGACTTTTCTATTACATCATTCCTAGTTTTAAATTGAAAAATAAAGAGAGCCTGAGTCGTGGTTCTGATTTTGGCACTCACGTTTTCTTAATTTTTTAAAATTTGTGGCGTCGGTGGCCTAGTGGTTAGGATACCGGACTCATAATCGTGAGGTTGCGGGGTAGGGTCGGGGGTTTGAGCCGCGGGCCCGACGTTGTGTCCTTGGGAAAGGCACTTTACACAAATTTTCCTCACTTCACCCAGGTGGTAATGGGTGCCCGGCCATAGACAGTGAAAGATCTTGTCAGTATGTAAGTGTTTTAGCACCTATAAATGGCTGCTTGCACTGTATGCTTCCCAGGAATTTGAGTTTGTTTCAGAATTCTCTCAGGTCTGCTGGGGTAATAGTATAGATTGTGAAGCGCATAGAGCCTGCTGTTGAGTGGGGATTTGCGATATACAAATGCTATTACTTCTCAAAACTTTACAAAATGACCTTAGGATAATTGAGGAGCAGCACTGAGCAATCCTAGACTTTCACAAATCCAGACCAAAAATTACTTTTATCTTGAGCATTCACAATACGAAACAATCATGAAATAAATAAAAATATGGTAGTAATTTAAGAATAATCAACAAATCAATCACTACTAATACTAACAAATCTTTCTACACATAGTATGACACACCAAATTAACAGTGGCAACAAAAATTAATGGAATAAAAAAAAAAAACCAACCCAAAAAACAAAACAGTAATTTTGTGGCAGTGAAGTCCCCACGGAATTCCTCGTCATATTATGCTAATTCTCAGCTACCCGGGTAGGAACGAAAAAACCAAACAGCAGCAATCAAAATCCTCCAAATTATGAGTCGCTATTTATAGAACATAGTCGTTCATCTATTTCAGGGAATTGGTAGACAGGAAGTGCGTTAGGCGAGGCGAGGGACACGGACAGTTGTGTAACGTCTGCACAACGATCCCTCCCATCTGTCTTTCAGCACAATTGCCGAACAAAATATCTCTGTCCTTACAAAATGTCCCCATCTACAGGGTGTAACTGTCGCCAACTCCCTCACAATACATCTCCAGCCTGACAAATGGGTGTACCTGTTGTCACAAAATGTCCCCATCTGCTGGGTGTAACTGTTGTCACAAAATGTCCCCATCTACTGGGTGTAACTGTTGTCAACTCCCTCACAAAATGTCCCTGTCCTTTACAAAATATCCCAAACCATTGGATGGAACTATCGCCATGTCTCTAAAATAATGTCCCCATCCTTACAAAATGTCCCCATCTACTGGGTGTAACTTTTGCCAACTTCCTCACAAAATGTCCCTGTTCTCACAATATGTCCCTGTCTATAGGATGCAAATGTCCAAAACTCCCTCAAAAAATTTTCCCATCCTCACAAAATATCCCTGTTCACTGAGTGTAATTGTCACCAACTCCCTCACAAAATGTCTCCCCCGTTTCCTCACACCAAAATGTCCCCGTCCCCCCGGTCCCCTCACAACATGTCGCTGTCCATGGAGTAGAGCTGCTCCCCGTTGTCCCCTCACAACAAAATGTCCCCCTTTCCTCACAAAATGTCTCTATCTTCACAAAATGTCACTGTCTATTGGATGGAACTGTCGCTAACTCCCCCCAAAAATGTACCCATCTACTAGATTCTCCGTCGCCAAATGCCTCACAAAATGTCTTAAATCTCACAAAACGTCACCATCTACTGGATGCAACTGTTGCCAACTGCCCAAAAAAATGTCCCTATTCTCACAAAATGTCCCCATTTCCCTCACAAAATACCCCAGTTCTCACAAAATATCCCTGCCTACTGCACATATTTGTCACTAACTACCACACAAAATGTCCCCTTTCCCCTCACAACATGTCGCTGTCCATGGGGTAAAGCGGCTCCCAATTGTCGCCTCACAACATGTTGCTGTCTATTGGATGCAACTGTTGCAAAACTGCCTCACAAAATGTCCCTGTACTCACAAAATATCCCTGTCTACTGGAGATGCAATTGTCGCCAACCCCCTCACAAAAATGTCCCCATCCTAACAAAATGTCACCATCAACTGGATGCAACTGTCATCAAATCCCTCACAAAATGTCCCTGTCTACTAGATGCAACTCGGAAACTCTCTCACAAAATGTCCCCATCCTCACAACAAAATGTCCCGCGTGCCCTCACAACAAAATGTCCCCTTTTCCTCACAAAATGTCCCTATCTTCACAAATGCCTCACAACATGTCGCTGTCCATGGGGTAGAGCGGCTCCCCGTTGGCCCCGAGCGGTAGCGCGGTGGAGGCAGTGGGGGGAGGGGGGATGTCCCCGGGGGAGCGGTCCTGGTACTGCTGCTGACGGTACTGCTTCAACTCCTCCCTCAGCTTCTCAAACCTCTGCTCCGGGTCCACGTACCGACCTCCTCCCGACCACTTCCCATGACCCCCAACCGGAGGGTCGCGGTTCAAGGTCGACCGACTGGAGTGGGGGCTGACCGACGCTGAATGACCCCCGCTCCCACTTCCTCCTCCCACGCCCGCGTTCCCGCTCAGACGAGAGTAGCGCCGGAGGTCGTCCATGATATCGTTCTCAAGGGCGTTGAGAGAGTCGAACTCGTAGTTCTCGTCGGCCGAGAGGTCCCTTCGGTGGTGGTGCGGGTGACCCGCTAACCCGCCACCTAGCCCGCCCCCACTGAGGTCAGAGCTGAGATCCGCGTCTGGCACAGAGCTAAAAGACGCGCTGGTTCCCTTCCCTCCACTTCCTCGCCGTGACGGTTGTAACGACCCCGTGCTTTGCGACGTGTTGCGGCTGCCAATCCCGCTACTGTGGCTTATTGAGTCCGCTGGCGGAACGTCATCGCCGCCGTACCTCCGCGAGGGGTCGCCATGGTGACGATGCGTCGGTATGACAACGTTGTTGGGAGGATATCGGCCGGGGTCATCGAAATATCGTGATGATAGTGGTGGTGGCATGGTTCGCGGGTCTCGTAACTGTTCTCTAGGGGGCAGCTCAGGAACTCTGTTATCGTAAGGAGCAGCATCTCGACCCGGGGGTAGGTGTGATGGGTGTGGTGGGTGTGATGGTGGTTGGGAATCGACCTCAGACCTATAAGGGTCTTTTGGTGGATTCGAAACACGACGATCATCGTCATAAGGTCTCGGATGTGTCTGATCTCTCGGCTGGTGGAACGGAATGTTAGTTCTGTTAGCCGGAATGGGGGGTCGGAGGTCGGGGGCGTGGTTTTTGTTGCGTCTCAAGGATAAGTCTGGGTATGACGAACCAACAGGAGGGCCACCACCACTGTTGTAGTTCTCGTTGTTGTAGCGGGGGTCGTCGTGGCGACGAGGGAAACGACCTTGACCTCCCCCACCCCCACCAGGGTCGTCGAAACCGTCACCGGGGTAGTAGTAAGGCAGACCTTTCAACCCTCGGCTACCTTCGCTTAAAGCTCTCGGCCGCGACTCCTCAAAGTATGGCTGACGATCGTCTGGAGTGTTGTAGTGATGATGATGATGATGATGATAGGGATGAGGCTTCCTCCCTCGCTCCAAACTGTCGCCGAAACTTTCATCGTACGGAGCGGGGTAGTCCGACGAACGGAGATTGGAATGTGAATTCGGCACGGGACGCTGGCTTTCTAAGGTGTTGTTGTTGTCGTAGTAGTCGTCGTCATGGAGATTATCACCGCCGCGGCTGTGCGGGAATGAGTCGGAGGTGAAACCTGATTGGTTCTGGAGGGCCGAGGGGGGCGGGGCTTGTCGTAGGGGCGCCGCTTCTCGGAGTCTTTGCACCACGCCTTGCAGCTGGTCGCGTGTGTAGCCTAGGGGGCGTCCGCTACTGGCACTACTCTCGTTGTCGCTGGTGGTGGTGGGGGCGGGCCGGAGGTGGTGGGGCTTCTGGGAAGGCGTGACCATCGCCAGGGGTTTGTCCCCACCCTCGCCTGACGGGACGTAGTAGCCCGCGGGGGGAATGTCGTCACCCGTCTCCGTCTGTTGATGATCTCCGAACACCGGGTGGCTGGATGGAGAGAAGGAATGATAAGGAGGGGAAGAAGAGAAAAAAGGACGAAGCTGTTGTGAGTTGTCTCCGGGGGGGTTGTTCTGCGACGGTTGTTCTGAGGCCGGGTCGAGAACCGAACTAATATCCTCAACGCCGAACATCGGAGGCTGAAGCAGCGGGTCACCGCGGTTATTACTGTCACTGTCAAGGTCGGTGAGATATGTGGTCTGGCCAGGTTTCATCGAGCTGTGCCTTGGGAACCCTGGCACGGGGGCGCGCCCGTTTGGCACGGCCGGAGAGCCGAAGACTTCGTCGTCCTCGCTTTGAAAGCTGGGCTGTTGGCCGGAGGTCGTTAGGTTGGGCCCCGAGATTCTGTGCGGGTGTGGGGGGAGGTCGGTGAAAGATGTGTCGTGTGGGGGGAGGTCGGTGAAAGATGTGTCGTGTGGGGGGGAGGAGGG